CATAAACGATATTCTCCAGGATAGATCACATATTAGGCCAATTAAAAAAAATTTAAATCATATCAGGCATCTTTTTTCTGACTCTAATAGATGAAACAAGGAATCTATTACAATAAAAAACTGGAAAACTCACAAATATGTGCACATCATACAACATGCTACTGAACAACCCATGAGCAAAAAAAATATCAAACAGAAATAAAAAGTGCTTTGAGACAAATGAAAATACAACACACCAAAATTTACGAAACGCAGCAAAAGCAGTTCTAGGAGGAAAGTTCACAGCAATGAATGCCTACCTTAAGGAACAAGAAAAAACTCAAAAAAACAACACCTAACTTTACACATCAAAGAATAAGAAAAAGGGGAGCAGAGCCCAAACTTAGGAGAAGAAAAAAATTAACAAAGATCAAAGCAAATATAAATGAATAAAGACCAAAAAAGCAATAGAAAAAGGTAAATGAAAGTAAACTGGTTTCTGAAACGATAAACAGAATGTATAAATCTTTAGCTAGACATGCCAAGAAAAGATTGGTACCACAGAAATACAAAGGATCATGACTGACCACTATGAAAATTATATTTGAACTGGACAACCCAGAAGGAAAAATTCCTATAAACCTACATCTATAAGACTGAATCATGAAGAAACAGAAAATCTAAACAGATCAATTTTACTAAACTGGTAAGGAGACTGAAGTAATAATCAAAAACCTCCCAACAAACAAAAGTCTAGGACCAGAGAACTTCACTGGTGAATTCTACCAAATAATGCCAATCCTTTTAAAACTCTCCCAAAAAAACAGAAAGAGTACTTCCAAATTCATTTTATGAGGCCAGCATTATCCTGCTACCAGAATATACCACAAGAAAAGAAAATTACAGGCCAGTATACTTGATGAACATAGATGCAAAAATCCTCCATAAAATATAGGCAAACAAAATTCAACGATACTTATTAAGAGGACCATATGCTTCAACCAAATGGGATTTATTCCAGGGGTGCAAAGATGGTACAACATCTACAAATCAATGTACTGTAACACACCAACAAAATAAATGATGAAAATCACTCAATCATCTCAAAAGATGGGGAAAAAAAGCCTTTGACAAAATTCAGCATTCACTGGTAAAAACTCTCAAAATGTGGATATAGAGGTAATGTACCTCAACATAATAAAGACCAAATATGACAAGCCCACAAGTAACGTGATACTTAAAGGTAAAAAGCTGTAAGCTTTGGGGCACCTGGGTGGCTCAGTCAGTTAAGCGTCCAACTTCAGCTCAGGTCATGATTTCACAGTTTGTGGGTTAGAGCCCCGCATCAGGCTCTGTGCTGACAGCTAGCTCAGAGCCTCGAGCCTGTTTCAGATTCTGTGTCTCCCTCTCTCTCTGACCCTCCCCTTCTCACGCTGTCTCTCTCTCTCTCTCTCTCTCAGAAATAAATAAAACATTAAAAAAAAAAAAAAAGCTGTAAGCTTTTCCTCTAACATCAAGAACAAGACATGGATGCCCACTCTCCCCCTTTCAGCCAATAAAGTATTGGAAATCTTAGCCAGAGAAATTAGGCAAGAAAAAGAAATAAAAGGCACATAAACCAGAAATGAAGTGAAACTGTAACTATTTGCAAATGACATATTATGGATAGAAAATCCTAAAGATACTACCAAAAAATCTGTTAAATCTAAAAAACTCAGTGGAGTTGCAGGATACAAAATCAATATAGAAAAATCTGTTGCATTTCTATTAAAAAAAATATATTTATTATTGAGAGACAGAGACAGAGCATGAGCATGGGTGAGGAAGAGAGAGGGAGACACAGAATCTGAAGCAGGCTCCAGGCTCTGAGCTGTCAGCACAGAGCCTGATGCGGGGCTTGAACTCATGAACTTTGAGATCATGACCTGAGCTGAAGATGGACACTTAACTGACTGAGCCATCCAGGCGCCCCAGCATTTCTATACACTAATAACAAAGTGGCAGAAAGAAAAATTAAGAAAACAATCTTACTTACAGCTGAATCACAAAGAATAAAATACCTGGGAATAAATTTAACGCAGGAGGTGAGAGAACTATACACTAAAAAATATAAAATATAGATAAAAGCAACTGAAGATGACATAAATAAATGGAAAGATATTCTGTGCTCATGGAATGGAAGAATTAGTATTGTTTAAATGTCCACACTATCCAAAGCAATGTATAGATTTAATGAAATCCTGGTCAAAATTTCAATGGTATTTTTTCACAGAAACAGAACAAACAATCCTAGAATTTGTATGTAACCACAAAAGACCCTGAATATCCAAAGCAATCTTCAGAAGTAAAAACAAAGCTGATGGAATCACACTCCCTGATTTCAGACTATGTTACAAAACTACAGCAATCAAAACAGGATGGTATTGGTATAAAAACAGACACATAGATCAATGCAACAGAATAGAGAAATAAATCCACACACATATGGTCAATTAGTTTACAAAAAAGAGCCAAGAATATACAATGGGGAAAGAACAGCCTCTTCATAAATGGTGTTGGGAAAATTGGACATCCACATGCAAAAGAATGAAGCTGGACCAGTATCTTGCACAACACACAACAATAAGCTCCAGGGAAGATGGTGGAGGAAGATCCTAGCCTAACTTTGTCCCACAGATACACCACCCACATTCACGTAACTAACCCAGAAAATGACCCAAGGACCAGGAGAATGGCTCTCCAGACGTAAGGTGAAAGGAGGCTACATCCAAAATGATAGGAAGGGCAAAGCCAGTCAGAAAGCAAACCAACCCATGAGACTAATTACAAATGGGAGGGACACACCACATGCACGAAGGGAGAGGAACAGACCCCACACCAGGCACTCCCGACACAGGGGACCTACCCTGGGAAGACAAATCCCCATAACGTGGCTCTGAGGACCAGAGGGGCTTAACTTCAAGTTTGTACAGTCAGTGGGGTTTAACGCCAGAACTGTAAAGATCAGTGGGCTGTCTCTGGGAGAGCCAGAATGCAAGGGCAATAGGAAACGGTCCCTGCCCTTGATGAGACAGCATAACAAACCCCTCAGAGATACGGCAGAGAAGCAGCACTTTCCATAATTTGGCTATTGTTGATAGCGCCAAATGTCCATCAACTGCTGAATGGATAAAGAAGATGTGGCATATATACACAATGGAATAGTACTCAGCAATGAAAAAGAATGAAATCATGCCATATGCAACAACATGGATGGAGCTGGAGAGTATTATGCTAAGTAAAATAAATCAGTCAGAGAAAGACGGATATAGGTGTTCACTCATATGAGGAATTTGAGAAACTTAACAGAAGACCATAGGAGAAGGGAAGGAAAGATAAGTTACAGAGAGGGGGGCAAACCAGAACAGACTCTTAAATACAGAGAACAAACTGAGGGTTGATGGGTGTGGGGGTTTGGGGGGTGGGGAAAATGGGTGATGGGCACTGAGGAGGGCACTTGTAGGGATGAGCACTGAGTGTTGTATATAAGTGACGGATCATGGGAATCTACTCCTGAGCCAAGCCTTCACTTCGTGTTAGCCAACTTGGCAATACATTATTAAAAAAAAATACCACCACCACCACCACCAAAAGAAAATATAAAAAAAAAAAAAAAAGCCCCCCCCCCCCGCCTCAAAGAAGCAGCAGTTTGAAAAGTGCCTGAGGTACATGGGAAGATTTATTTACTAATCTCAAAACATGCACTGGAGCAGCAGAGAGCTTTAGGAAACTTCTCCAGAACAAAAGAGCTGGGAGGCATCACCTGCCCTCACCCCAGCCTAGAGACACAGATGTGACCTCTCCCCACCTAGCTTGCTAACACCACACCCCACCCCTGCGTTCCCCTGTGCGCTACCCTATCCGACTGCCCCGCTCAGCGGGAGTCCATGCCAAGCGACACCACGAGCTTCTCCTTGTGCAAGCAGCTCCCCACCGGCCACTCCAAAGTGCCTCCTACCCTGGGGGAGGGGAGGGTAACGGGCAGGGGCTGGATGCAGACACGTGATCTGACCGCTGGCCCTGCCTATGAGCAGAAACCTCACAAGGACCAGTACAAAGAAAGAGAGAGCCTGGTAGTTCAAGGTCACCGCAACCCCAGCAGACTGGAGACAGACGTCTGGTCTGACTGCAGGCCCCGCCCACCAGTGAAAGCCTCTCAGGGGGCAACACAGAGAGAGGCCCCTGCAGTTCAGTGTGACTAGTTCAGTGTGTCCAGGCAGATAGGCTGAGGGCAGGCATGCGGCCTGACCCAACTCAGCCCAGGGCAGCGCCACACTGGCCCCTTAAGAGCACTGGGAGCAAACTCTGTCCCCGCCAGGCAGAGGGCCACTGCAGACACCTGTACCGAGGCGAACGTGGCTCAGCCACAGGAGCAGGGCACACTCAACACACCTCTCGATCCTCTGTCCCCGTCTGTGGGAAGAGGAATTGGGTGGGCTTCTCTGTTGCCTCGCCACCGGAATTTGTTGCCTAGTTAGATCTCACTGTTGTCTCTGTGAAGACCCCCTAACTAATACGTGGGCTCCCAGGGAAGCTACACTTTAACATTTGCCAGGGACAAAATGACTCAACCAAACCTCAAAGCATGGGACCTCTCCCTGCCCTGAGCCCACACTGTACATCTGCTTTATTTTTAAAATATCCCCAAAAAACATTCCAAAGATAAAGATAAAAAACTTTCCTCGTTTCCATAATATTGAAAAGTCATTCACCTTGCACAGACTAAAAACATAAGATAGTGTGTAACTTTGTAGAATGCCCTTTGTCATAATAATCTGTAATCCTTACGTGAAAAAACCATACAACCCTGCACCACATGTTCCCTCCCCAGAGCACTCTCTTCTTCGTGAAGACGGTGTATCCTGACAGCTGTCCTAGCTTGGGCTCAACTCAAACTCTTTTCCTTTTGAAAAATTTTAAAAGTTTGTTCATTTTGCATCAACATTTCTTGGCATTGTCGGCAGGACATCAGAGCAACTCACCTGAGGACACCTGGGGTCGCCTGGACCTCGGCTGCTCTGTGCCAACACCGGTCCCGGGTGCCCCTCTGGCTCCCAGCACTTCACAGGTGTGTCGGGGCACTTCGCCTGGCCACCCAGACCCCCTCAGTTCCAGTTGATGGTCCTGACTTCGATTCCTGCTGCTGATGGCTATCGGTAGTATTCTCTTGGTGGGAATAACCTAGAAGGGATGGAGTTGATGGATTGTTTTAATTTGGCATTATACAAATTGATGTTTTAATAGAAGGCTTGTGTAAATTTTCTGGCTAATAATAAGAGAGTCTAAACCATTTAGCTCTAAAGAGAACTGAGTGGGAACGGACTCCGTACCTCTCTCCTCAAAAGCGGGGGCCCTGAGAGGGACCTCGTGTGCTCCTGGAACCTGCATAAGGACGGGAAGATTTAGGTCCCGCACATTTCGGCCTGCTCGGGCGAATTCTGTCTGATGGGCACACTCATGGTTGTGACTCTGTATTTAAAAGGATAATGCTATTCTACTGTAACACTGCTCGGCCTATATTATGTTTTGAGCTCAGTAAAAAGATGGCCACTAAATGGAACTTTAAATTATCACACCATCTTGCAACTGGAGTAACTCTGCCAGAGATCAAACACCCTACATTCAGGCTTTTAAGCTCCTCCACAATAAAGATGGAGCTCCTCCAAGCGGCGGAGCTCAGGCCCCGGCTTCTACCTGTGCACAGAGGGGCCACACCCCAGATCCTACACCCTGAGCCTGGGACCCCGTGACCACTTTTTAAAATACTTATCCTAAAATTAAAAATAAATAAAATAAAGATGCTTTATGGGAAGTGACCCAACTGATGGACCATAGAGATAAGTGTGGACAGGGGTGCCTGGGTGGCTCAGTCGGTTAAGGGTCCGACTTCAGCTCAGGTCATGATCTCGTGGTTCGTGGGTTCGAGCCCTGCATCAGGCTCTGTGCTGCCAGCTCAGAGCCTGGAGCCTGCTTCAGATTCTGTGTCTCCCTCTCTCTCTGACCCTCATGCTGTCTCTCTCTCTCTTTCTCTCTCTCAGAAATAAATTTTAAAAAATTTTTTTAATTTTTAAAAAAGAGAGGTAAGTGTGAACCAAAATTTAATAAGACTCCTGACCGTCTTCCTAAAAGTCAGGATGATGAAGAGGAGGAGGAAGACAGGCAGACACTGGAAATCCTCAACCCACCGCCCCACACCCAGGCACTAGAACCAAAGTCCAATCCACAGACTGCTCCTCTATCCCCTCCAAAGGGCTGAGAAGCAATCAGGAGGGAGAGACAGGAAGCAGATGGAAAGACGGCAGTCCAAACTCTGAATCTGCTTCTGGCCTTGACAGGGGTGCCCCCGACGCCTGCCTTTACCTCCCCCTCCTCCTGTTCCTGTGCCTCCACCTGGGCTGCTCCTATACGATCCCGGGGGCCAGCAGCACCAGCAGCTCCTGCTCCTCCCACCCACACTATGAAGGAGCAAAGAGCACCCCCAAGCTGTCAGGCTACCCCCTTATGATGTTCAAACTGGAGTACCTCCCAAATCAGCGTGAAGGGGCCCGGACTCCCCTGGACTTCAATGGCCCACTTCAGGTTCCCCCACAGGAGCTCTCGATAAAATTGACAGTCGGGGGCGCCTGGGTGGCTCAGTGGGTTAAGCGTCCAACTTCGGCTCAGGTCGTGATCTCGCGGTTCATGGGTTTGAGCCCCGCGTCGGGATCTGTGCTGACAGCCAGCTCGGAGCCTGGAGTCTGTTCCGGATTCTGTGTCTTCCTCTCTCTCTGACCCTCCCCTGTTCTCTCTCTCTCTCTCTCTCTCAGAAATAAATAAAACATTTAAAAAAAATTTTTTTTTAATTGACAGTGGGGAATGAATTGGTTGACTTTTTGTTAATTTTTTATTTTTAAGTAATCTCTACACCTAATGTGGGGCTCGAACTTACAACACAAAGACCCAGAGTCACTGATCTCAAGAGTCACTGACTCAAAAGTCAGGTGTCTTGATCGACTTTTTAGTAGGCACAGGGCGACATATTCAATATTAAAGCTACTTCAAAGTGGTTGGTTTCATTAAAATAGACATGACTCTTAGAGTTATCAACATCAAATATAATACAGATACCTGTATTTTATTCTACCTGAATTTATGAGCTAAATTTGTGTTGTATTTTTTGCAATGTGTCAATGACTTAAAATGATTGATTTTGTCATATTATGTTCACATGGGTAACTGTAAGAACAAATGGGTTAAATATATAAAAAGGCATATAGCTTTCAAAATCTTTAGTAGCCTTGAAGTTTTTGCTAGGTAATTAAATGATAAATTGGTTCAAACTCATTGGATATTTAAGTCTTTTCCAAATAAGAGAAAACAATGAAACATTAAATACCAAACACAGGTTTACCGACTTTTGTCTTATTATAGGAAAACTAAAGATCAATTGGGTTTGTTATAAACATGTTTTATGCTTTATTAAAAGTCTGTATTATGAAGAAGCATGGTTTTAGAAATTATGAAATACATTCATAAATGCGCCAATCTAAAGAATACTGGGGGGGCACCTGGGTGGCTTAGCTGGTTGAGTGCCTGACTCTTGATTTCAGCTTAGGTCATGATCTCACTGTTCATGGGTTGGAGCCTCGCCTTGGGCTCTGTTCAGACAATGTGGAGCCTACTTGGGATATTCTTCTCTCCCCCTCTATTCCCCGCCCCCACACTTGTGCACACACACACTCTCTCTCCCCTGCTCCTGCTCGTGCACTCTCTCTCAAAATAAATAAATAAATGTTTTTAAAAAAAAGAATACTAGTATAACAGTTCACAATTTCTTACTACTCAGTTTCTACTAGAAATTAAGGTTTCTAAGCATGAAAAATACTGATAAATGTAACTGAGACTATTGGAAATAATAAAGAAAAACTATTTGCAACTCTTATCACACAAAGGGCTAATCTAATACATAAAGACTTCCTTGGAACTGAAAGATTCTGACAATCCAACAGAAAAAAAAATGGGCAAAGTACACGGACAAAACACACACACACACACACACACAAGAAATACAAATGGATCTTAAAAAAAACCTGTATCAGGGCACCTGGCTGGCTCAGTTGGTAGAGCATGTGACTCTTGATCTCATGGGTTTGAGCTCAAGGCCCATATTGGGGACAGAACTTACTTAAAAAAAATAAATAAAATAAGAAAGTAAACTTGCCTGTACTAAAGAAATGCAAATCAAAATGAGTTTGATAGACCATCCACACCTATCAACCTGACAAAAAAGGAAAGGTCTGGGAACACTGTTGAGACCATGGCAAAACAGACTTTCTTTCTTATTACTCCAGGAATATAAATTGATGAAATTCCAAGGAAGGCAACTTAATACCCATTAAAATTTCAAAGGTATGTACACTTAGATCACATTTCTCAAATTTCTCCTGCAGTTCTATTTACCCACAGACCAAAAAACACGTATAATTACTGTACTGCAGCACTATTTGTAATAGCAACACGTTGGAGATGAGCAAGAAATCCACCATAAGGGACTAAAAGAATTTAATAAAGTACATTCTGACAACAGAACACAAGAAAACTAAAATGGAGACTAAGGGAGAAGAAGATCTCCTTGATTTACTATGAGAAGAGCCAAATGCAGAACTGTGTGTATGGTAGCTACCTTTTATGTAAAAAAAAAAAAAAAAACAAAAAAAACAAAAAACAAAGGAGGAAAAGAATATGAATTGATCTATAGAATTAATGCAATCCCAGTCAAAATCTCACGAGATTTTTTGATTAAAAACTGCCAAGCTAATTCAATTTCAACTGACAAGCTAAAATTCAAATGGAAATTCAAAGAACCTAAAATGAGAAAGAAAAATAAAGTTGGAGGGAGAATGCTACTTGATCTCAAGAATTATTCTAAAGCTATTATAATCAAAGCAGCGTGGTATCAGCCTGAAGACAGCTAAATAGATCAATGGAACAAAATTAAAGTCCAGAAATAAACTGACACACATATATGGACAACCCATTTTTGACAAAGGTACAAAGACAACGGAGAAAGAACAGACTTGTCAACAAATGATGCTGGAATATTTGGATATTCATATGCAAAAAAACCCTCAACAATCAAAACCTCCCACAAAACTTAGATCCATACCTCCTACAGGCAAAAGATTTGAAAAGACACTTCAGGGGCACCTGGGTGGCTCAGTTGGTTAAGCGTCCGACTTCAGCTCAGGTCATGACCTCATGGTTCGTGGGTTCGAGCCCCGTGTCAGGCTCTGTGCTGACTGCCAGCTCAGAGCCTGGAGCCTGTTTTGGATTCTGTGTCTTCCTCTCTCTCTGACCCTCCCCTGCTCACACTGTCTCTCTCTCTCAGAAATAAATAAAACATTAAAAAAAAGAAAAGAAAAGACACTTCAACAAAGGGGATACACAGGAGTGATGTCGCCAAGATGCCAACATAATCTGTCCCTGACTCTACTCCCCCTCACAGGAAGTTCAACTAACAACTAGTCATAAGCAAGACACCACTGAGAGAATCCTAGACCCTGGGAGAGTGCCTGAAGCACCTGCTGCATCAAAGACCAAAAGAGATCTCGTTAGAAGGGTAAAAAGAACAGTTCTACTCTGACCTCATTGTCTCTCCCCAAGGCTGGCACAGCAACATGCTGAGAGGTCTCCCCTGAGCCTACGGTCCCTCCAGGGGAAAGAAAGAGCCCAGAGTGTACATCCAGCTCCCCCAGCATTGTGGGTCGCCTCTTGGGAGCCTCTAGTTGGACTAACCCAACAGGGGTTGTGGAGGATTCCAGAAGGCTCAACTATGGGAGACCTGATTGTAGTAGAAAATGAGGAATGGCACCAAAAGCCAGCACTCAGATTTATTAAACCAAATTCCTACTGCAGCACCCAAGAAGCAGTTCCAACCATCAGCTCTGCCTGTGCAGGGCCAAGCCGATAGCACAGTCTGACCAGGAAACTCAGCCGGGGACAGGTTTGCCTGACAGTAGGGTCCTCAGACAATGAGCTTTGCAAGCCCTGTGAACTGTCCTGCCCCACACAGGCACAGGTGGTGGAACTCCCAGGCCTTCCAGATCAGGCTTTCTGAATGCAGCCTATTGCTGAATACAGCCCTCAGTCCGCTCAATCAGAGGGCCTAACCACTGTACACAGGAACTCGCACATTCACCCAACAGCCCTGCTTACAGTGGCTCTTGAACAGACAGCACAGCCTGTGGCTTTCCCCATCTGCAGAGCAAAACCAGTAGCCCCATCTGGCCAGGGAATTCAGTGCACAGTCTTGCCAAATTCAGGTTCACAAATAATGAGCTCCTGGGGCCCATCCTGCTGCCCCACCAGTGCAAGGGAGCGATTTCATAGTGCAATATACTGCTGAGTAAGTACCCAGTCCTGAGTGTCTAGTAAGTCTGACCAGAGAACCCAGGCAAATGCAGAGCCTATCCTACAGCCTCACTTGGGCAGGGAACCAAGCCAGCAGTCCTATCTAAGTGTTCTCAGCCAGCAGTAGATAGACCCCCCCGCCACCTCAAACCTTGGGCAGTGGCCTCCAAACCAGGTCCCATCTGCCCAAAGATGTTATCAGCAGACATGTCTGATAACCTATACTGAGCTGACTGGTCTCTGCCGAAGTGAATCTAAAGTCTAAAAGAGGAAACTGCTCACTCAAATGCACAGATAACCCAGTATAAAGAATCAAGTATGCTGAAATATCAGGTGATCATGACACCACCAAAGAAAACTAATTAAGCTCTGATAGCTAATACTAAAAAAAAAAAAGAGAGAGATCTATGAGCTGTGAAAGAATTCAGAATAGTCCTCCTAAACCTGAGTGAGCTAAAAGAACATACAGAAAGAACATCACTAAACATAATTAGGAAAACAATTCATGAAGTTCAATAAAAAGAAATGCTCACCAAAAAAAAAAAAAGCCCACAACATAAATCCTAGAGCTGAAAAATGCAGTGACTGATGAATTCAATAGAGACTTTCAAAAGTAGACTCAACCCAAAGAAATGCAAAGCAATCACTGAGAAAATATGACATCTGAAATCTGAGGAGCAAAAGGAAAAAAGAATGAAAAAAAGTGAAGAAAGCCTATGGTATGTATACAACATAATCAAAAGAAACAATATCTGCATTATTGAAATGCCAGAAGAGAAAGAGAAAGGGATAGAAAACATATTTAAAGCAGTAATAGCTAAGAACGTTTCAAACTTCAGGAGAGAAATGGACATCCAGATCAATGAGGTCCAAAGAACCCCAAATAAATTGAACATGAATCGGGCTACACCAAGACACATTATTAACTGTCAAAGTGAAAGACAGAAAAATAATTCTGAAGGCAACATGAAAACAAGGGAAGTTTCATACAAAAAACCTCCATAAGACTATTGGTGGATTTATCAACAGAACCTTTTCAGACTAGGAAAGAATGGGATGATATATCAAAGAATGTTGTAAGAAAAAAAAAATCTTTAAACCAAGAATTTTCTACCCAGCAGAGCTGTCCTTCAGAAATGAAAGAAAGATAAAGATTCTCCTTAACAAAAGCTGAGGACGTTCATCCAACACTGTAGCTGTGTTACAAGAAATGTTAAAGGGAGTTCTTTGAGTAGAAGTAAAAGGACACTAATAAAATTAGTAATATAAAACTCACTGGAATTGGTAAATAGATATAGTCA